CCATTCTCCATGATGTGATTATTTCACATTGCATGCCTATATCAGAACATCACATGCACCCCACAAATATATACACCTATGTACGTACCCACAAAAATTAAAAATTAAAATGTTGTAAGAGAATATTTGCAATTATTTTTTAAAACACTTTTGTTATAGTTTAAGCATCTCTAATCTGAACATCCAAAATCCAAACTGGTCCATAATCTGAAACTTTCTGAGCATCGACATGACACTCAAAGGAAATGATCAATGGAGCACTATGGAATTCATATTTTCAGATCAGGAATGCTGAAAAAGCATAATGCAAATATTCTAAAATGTTAAAAAATATAAAATCTGAAAGTATTTCAATAAAGGATACTCAACCTGTATTTGCTTTAAAGTCTTTATCACACAATTCCTACACGGGTGTTAGCTCAGTGTTAGCATCTGTTAATGTCCTTTTCAATGTAAGTTGAAATTTTCTCAGTTCTTCCCATACCACATAATTCTGAATTGTATTCTCAATATTTGGAATATTATGTTGAGACATTGGGTCTTGTTTACATTCTATGGAGAATGTTGTTATTTTTGTTTTAGCACACAATCCGTCTAGTTAGGTTCAGGTTCAATTTTCCACAGCCTTCTATAGGTAGCAGTTCTAATTTTTCAGAGCCTTTGTAGTGTTCTTTGGATATTACCTGTATGTGCACCACCTAGTGGTCAGTATAGGATCTATGTAGTGGTCTATTGGTTAATTCTGTTCTCAATTATGCTAATTAGGATCAGATCCATGCATACATCACTCAAGTATTAGCCAAGAAATTTATAAACAACTTTATGAAATTGCTTAATCATGTGATTTCTTGGATCCCTTTTGTTTCTCCTATCAGAAACATGAGACTCTAGCTACTCCTCTCTTGCGTTCCTCCATGATTTGGCCTGCAGATACACCAAGTGTTCAATAACCAAGTTTTCATTCTTATATCAGAATAATCATCATCATTATCATCATTTGCAGTAACAGCAACATCAAGAGTTCTTCTAATTAATAGTTAATAATGAAAACAATAATAATGATGAACTGTCTTGGAGGAAGTATGATAGCAATTGTTAAGACTGGTGTCTCAGAGCAAGATATGTCAGGTCTAGCACTGAGTGATACCTGAACAAAACAGCTGGCTCCCAACCTATTCACCCTAAAGTGAAGCCTCGTGTTGACAAGCCATGGCCACAAATACTGAGCTACCACTTCACTTTTTGTTGCCTTATTCTTAAAAAGGGGTAGACAAGAAAGATTATAAAAATGAAACAGAAAAAAAAATTATCAGAGGAAACGGATAACTGTAAAAAGCAAAAGAAAGTCTAACATTTCAATATCATATCAATAAAATAAGAAAAGGATGCTGCGAAATGGGAGTAACTACCAAATGCAGAAAAAAACTCTTGAAATTTAAAAATATAAAATTGCCAAAATAAAAGTTAGAAGATAAAATTTTTAAAATCCAAAACTAGAATAAAATAAAAGAGACAGAAAATATGAATAAAAAGAGTCATTAAGGTCAATTTAGGACCTTTAACTCGTGACTGATAGGAGCTCTAGAAAGAGAAAGGGAAAAAACAGGGAGGAATTATCAAAGAACAGAGAAAAGGATATGATATCTCTGTCCTACTAACTTAGGAGATAAGGAAGGACAGAGCTATAAGAGAGGAAGCTCGTGATGCATCACCTTCTGCTAGGACTTCAAGTCAATGAGACAGGGTTATATCGGATATATTAAGGAGAACATTGACCATGAGAAGAAGGACTCCTACACTGACTACCATAACCAGCATGAGACCAGAAAGCCTCCTTTCCCTACAGTGTGGGTTTATTTAAGTCATCTTCCCAATACTTCTGATGCCATCTTAGAGTGAACATGGGCAGTAAGGGAAGTAATTGAAGGAATGAGAAGTCATTTCCCAAAGACCAATATAAACTTGAAGAAACTTTAAATTATGAAACTGGACTAAGTTACAAATAAGATTTCCTCTCTCCAGGAACTGGGTAGGTTGTGGATTGTTTTATCTGGGGATACAAAACAAACAAACAAAATAATAGAGAATTGCCCAGAGCTGAAAGATAAGTACTGTCTGATTGAAAGTGTACAGCAGTTTGAATAAAATATCTATATTCTAATTATATCATAGAATATTTCACATCAAGAATAAAGAGAAACACCTAAAAGCTGTCAGAGAGGGGGGGAAGAATGCCCTACAAAGGAAGAATTGGACTGGCAAACAAACAAACAAAAAAAAACACTGAAACAAGGCCTTCAATGAGGCCTTGTTTATGAGGGGGAAAATTTCCACTTTGAATTCTTTATCTAGTAAGGTTATTAATTAAGAATAAAAACATTTCAGACAAGCAGAACTCAGAAAGTTTAAGTCAAATACACCATTCTTAGGAAGTTACTAGGGAGTCTTTTCCAGCAAAATCACACAGTGAACCAAGAAAAATAACATGAAATCCAGACCACAATGGATTCAACCCAGGAGAATAATGAAGGAAAATCCCAGGACGTCAGCTGTGCAGTAGGCCTACAGAATATATCAGGTTAGGGTAAGAGGATAGTGCATTTCAAGGGAGCAATCCTAGGAAAAGCAAGGATTCTAAATATTTTTATATTGCTTCTGAAGATGTAGAGCTCTGGGAGATGATAAAGGCAGAAAAATAAGGGGAAAAAGCCACTCAAAACCCCATGTAAAAATGAAAAACTATATAAGAAAGGAAGTGGAATAATAGTACACTACACTGCTTAGTTGTACAGGGAATAATATTTACATAACAATAACAATATTAACACTTTATTTTCTACTCTTAGAATCAACCATAGACAAAGCACAGAAAATGCAATTATGATTACAACACAGAACATAGATGCTTACAACTGTGAAAATGTAAATGCTTAGGGTAAAACTACAAGTAACAGCAGGGAGCCAAAAGATATTGTCTACTGTCAACTGTTAATAAAATAAATAAAGGGGCAAACTTTAAGACTAGAAAAGTAACCAACAGAAGAACAAAAAATAGTAACATAACTACATTGAGAAGAATGGAGATGGGGTAGTGTAAATGAGCTACATCCTCATTTGTGAGAGCAATATAACACAATAATAAATAAGAATAGAAAATATCCAAAATTGGTAAATCAAGAAAGAATATCGTAAGTATATTATTTAGAGATATCAAAGTAAACAAAAGAACTAAAAGGAAAATTAGGAGAAAGAAGTGGTCCCATTTGAGGAGTGAAACTATTTATTATAAGACCTTCTGTACCATTCAGTATTTGTATGCATATGCATGTATTAGTGTGAAGATTTTAAAAATTAATATTTCTTGACAAGGTAATACTGTTGTATGGTTCTACATTCCAAATCTATGAAAAACAACAATAATGTCTCCACATTCTCTA